AATCCAGAAACTCCAATCTCTACTACAGATACTCCAATCACCACTACAACCCCAACACCTTCCCCTCTCCCTCCTCGCACTCCCCGTAACAGACAGAACAAACGTTCCACCCCCTCTTCCCCTACCACACAATCACCCCCACCATCCTTTGCCCGTACTCTTGAGACACCAGTCCTCTCTTCCCCCCCTCACAAGAAATCCTTTATCCCCCCAAACTCCCCAACCAACTCCACAGAAGAAACTATTGAAAATATTCAAGATTACTTAATGAAAACCGACACTCAACCTACAACTCCTGCTCCTTCCACACTCCAAGTAATTGCTGATATCCATCCTCCTCCTAACGATATCCCCCCTACACCCTACCCTCCTACCCCCTCCCAACACAGCCCATTCCCCCTGACCCCAACCCTGCCCACATTAACTCTCCCACCATCCCCTCTATCCCTTCCACTCCCTCCTGGATACACACGTGAATCCCTTATGTCACAAGTATCCCCTTCCTCAGACCCTCCATCTCCTAATACCCCTCCTGATAGAACACCAACTCCCACACCTCTCCCATCTCAAACCTCTCAGTCCTTATCCCACCCTCTAGCTACTTCCCCTTCAAATTCTCCAACATGTACTACAATCTATATCACTAAATCAACGAAAGTATAACTATCCTTCATTGGAATATTCGCGGTTTCCGCTCCCACAGACCTGACCATCATATCCTTCCCTCTTATAACCCATCTATTGTATGCCTTCAAGAAACCTTTCTTATGCATACCCTTTATCTAATATGACACCCGACCTTAACCCTTTCACTCACTAATTCCTTTGCCCAGCTTAGACAACTAATCACTAACTCAACCACCCTTCACTAACATTAACTATAGTGCTACATGACCTTAGATGTCTAGCACATTTATCTTGCTTTTAACCATTAACCATTAACCATCCAACATCTACCCCCTCTCTTGTGAGGCCAGACAGTAAGCACGCTAATAAGGTTTTTGAGGGGTAAGGGCTAGATACTAAATCAGGGGAATACCGTGCCCATGGCTCCCTCAGGCCGTTCAGGACTGGCACAAAGTCAGCCTTTCATCCTTTCAGCACGGCTCTCACACCTTAGGAGGTGGATAGCAGAAGGGTTTGGTGAAGGGACAGAAACAAAAGTGGTAAGGGAAAAAAAGACCATGCATAATTAGTTGAGTCGAGGGCTGAGTCCCAAGGTTGGGGAGTTCCCCATCATTGGGTCCCAGTCTCCGCCTCCTAAGCCCCCCCACGACAACAACGGGCAAGGGATTGGGGGGGCCCGCCCACATTAACCCTCCCACCATCCCCTCTATCCCTTCCACTCCCTCCTGGATACACACGTGAATCCCTTATGTCACAAGTATCCCCTTCCTCAGACCCTCCATCTCCTAATACCCCTCCTGATAGAACACCAACTCCCACACCTCTCCCATCTCAAACCTCTCAGTCCTTATCCCACCCTCTAGCTGCTTCCCCTTCAAATTCTCCAACACGTACTACAATCTATATCACTAAATCAACGAAAGTATAACTATCCTTCATTAGAATATTCGCGGTTTCCGCTCCCACAGACCTGACCATCATATCCTTTCCTCTTATAACCCATCTATTGTATGCCTTCAAGAAACCTTTCTTAAGCATACCCTTTATCTAATATAACACCCGACCTTAACCCTTTCACTCACTAATTCCTTTGCCCAGCTTAGACAACTAATCACTAACTCAACCACCCTTCACTAACATTAACTATAGTGCTACATGACCTTAGATGTCTAGCACATTTATCTTGCTTTTAACCATTAACCATTAACCAACCTTCCATTTTCTCAATGTCTCAGCATCGTCCCCAATATCCAATTCCTCTACCCCAATCATCCTACCTCTACTCCTCCTCTCCCCTTGTCAAATTCCTTTTCCAGTCTAAATCTAGATTCTCCAATCTCTACCACTTCCCCGGTGCTTACCCCTCCTCTTCGTCACTTTACCTGCGGCACCAGGCAATCTCATCTCCTCACAAGAAAACCCTTGTTTCTCAGACCTCCACACCCAAATCCCCTCCAGAAACTCTTGAAAACATTCAAAACTATCTAATCACGACCCAAGATAAAATGCCTATACCTCATCCATCCTTTTCTATTCCCGTTCCTTCTACACCCCTTCCTCTCACTCCCTCCTAACACATCTCATCCCCCCTGTTTCAGCTGCATTTTCTTCTCCTTTCTCATTATCCCTTCCGCTTCCCCCTGGATGTGACCCTTTGTCACAGCAACCCCCTACCCTGGGTTCTCTTCCTACTGACATCTTCCCAGAAACTGTGATCTAATGGTCTTTAAACCCCTCTCTCCACTGTTAATCCCTACCTTACCCTATGGATATCCTGCAAAATCACACACATCTTCATTTAGTAACTTAGATTTTGTTAATGCCTAACTTCCTGAACTGCTATACAACTTCTAACATGTATCACATTTAATCATCAGTTAAACCCTCTCTTTGTATTTGCTTTGTAACCATTAACCATTCACAGTTACTGGTTTAAGAGCTGCCTATACAGCCATTTAAAAAACCTCCCGACATTATACTTCCAAGTGTATTCCATGATGGAACTCTGATTGTACCAAAGCACTTCGTTTAAAACGCGCAGCCTGGAACAGTTACTGCTACATGTAAGGCACCCCTAGTCAGCTATTGGACTTTGTCTTTTTTAAAAGAGCATCCGCCTGTATTCAGTTGCACAATCTGGAAAAGCAAAACATCCAGCTTGCAAAATCATGTTTCCTCATTTACATCATCATTTTTAACTGTCGGATTGAAACATTTCCGTTGTGTCAATATCTAAAGTTATTAGGTGCATATTAAAATATAGCAATAGAGTGGGGTAAGAAGTTTTTGGTTTACAGGGCAATGTGTGTGGATTTCCAGAATAGTCAAAAAGAAATGTGCCAGACATCATGACAAAGTATTATGGCTAAAAGGGTAAAAACGAGTTAACAATTAAAGACTGGATGAATAAGAGAAGGAAAGGGAAAGAAGAAAATACAATGCAAAATTAGTTGAGACGAGATCCGAGGTTGGGAGGTCGGTGAAGGGAGGACAGGTGGGGGAAAGCAGAGGTATGGGCTACACCGAAGTGTATAAAGGACAACAGAATGCATGGAAGTGCAAGAGAGATATTACATTGGGAACATAGGGGAAGATCAGTAAGGTGTTTTCTGGTGGATAAGTATAGACAAGACATAAAGGGATTGTGAAGAAGAGACCAAATGGTAGTTGGGAATTGGTACAGGAGGATGTGTAAGAAAAGTCTTTTGGAAAGCTATACTTTAGTTGATCTAAAGTATAGCTCTAAAGTGTTGGAGAATTCAGTAGAGATTGGGGTGTCTGGATTTAGAATGGCAAAATATGGGAGGTAGGAGGTAAAAGTGGGGAAGTAAAGGGAGGGTGTAGGAACATCTTGGGAGGGAGGGGGAGGGGCAGAGCGAGTAGGAGTAAGGAGTAAGAGAAAAACCTCGTCGACGTGCTTCCTGTCTGGCTTCATGCAGAGTGAGACCAAGTCTGAACCTGAGAATTGTCACCTCAGACTCAAGCTTGTAGGTGGGGCAAACCCTATGAAATACATTATGGGGGCCACCACAGTTGGCACATGTGTGACTGTGGAGAGCAGTTTGGGCACATAGAGTGCATCGGGCTTTGGCAGTGCTGGGCATGAAGGCCTAAACACCAACAATTTTGATACTGACGGGGAGGAGGTTGATATGGTTGGAAAGGGAGGGATTCTCCACCAATGTTAACATTAAAGGGAAGGTCCTGTCTACGGAAAGTAATTTTGGCAATGTTGGTAGGGTTCTTACGATGACCTTTAGGAGGAATGGAGAGGCACTGTACTGATATCGCATCTGAATAATTAAATTTTCTGTAACAAACCCTGTGCTGCTGGTCATGGCATGAAGGACTGGGATCCTAACCAAGGAAATAGTGTACTCCCTGGAGCTAGCACTCCTCTAGCCATGGGTCACAGATGGTATATTCCACCCTCATATAAATAATATAACAGCCACTTCCTTAAAGTCCACCAAGTCTACTCTTCCTCCAAGACCTTTGTGTAGTCATGGCAAGTCATTCTCGTCACCCCGACCTTTGGCCAAATTCTTCATGATGGTATATTGATATCACCACAGCCCTCAGCCAATTTTTTCATGATGGCATATTCTCGTAACTTAACCCAATGCCGACGGGTATGACGTGTACATACGTGCTATATCCACTGTGAGTACTTTTTTTATTGTTTTTACGCATAGATGGCAACACTTGTACTAAATCACCAATGAGCCAGTTACGAGTACCGCCTGTCTCGCCTGTTTACCCTTTTCTTTGATTCACAAAATATTTTACATTATCTTATTTTGCTGTTACTAATGTTAAAAAACATTATAATAATTATAATGTTTATGACAAAAATAACACCATCGATTTTCAAAGCACTAGTGAAAAATACGTTTTTCCCACCATTTCAAATCAGGTGCTAGCAGAGCCATCTATGGGCAGACATTTCACAAAAAACATAGAAAATGGGCACAGCATTTTCCCCATTTTTTGTTCATTTTCCCCTGCGGCATTGGGTTAAATCTCAGCCAAATTATTTTCCTAACATGACTTGCATCATTGGGATCCAATGGGTTAAAATAAAAGGTCTCATCACTAGTATAATATTGTAACTTCCATGGATATACAGTTCTTTACACTATATCAATCAGAGATCATCGCTGTAATTTGTGAAGAACTGAATTTGGTAGGATGGGGTCCACTTTCCCAACCCCCCAAAAAGGGACTTGATTGGCAAGTCTAATGGACATTTTTGAAGGCTAAAAGATTTTTAATTACACTTAACTTGAATTTCCAAAATGGGGAATTTTGACTTGCTTTTCAGAATACTTAACTAAATTGTTCAAAATGTATTGAAAGATTAAAAAACTTGCTATATTTTTCTATTTAATTTCACATTTCATACATGTTACTGTTTTAGCACATTTTTCTAGTTACAACAATACATCAACCAATAAACAACTTAATACCATAAAGTGTTTTCACTGACGTCATTATCGATAAAGGTTCCCGGATGCACGGCCATATTGGAGGTACACCGAGTAGTCAGTTCTAGAGTAGTTGGTTATACACGCGTTTTTAAATTCCATTTCGGAGAAAATATCCTTGTTTGACTCTAGAAGATACCCCTGATAGGCCAATGGTTTCTTCATTTTTAACCAGTTTCTAATACTAACTTTCTTTAACAGTTTCTTATATGTTTCTCATATTGCCTATAAACATATTCTAAATAAGATATGTAAATTTATGATTACCTGACATAAAATGGAGTGAGTAAACTCTCCAAGTTTTGTTATCCAAGTTTTTCCCTTGAAAGTTCAGCTGAAGACGTGAAAGCCAAAGCCGCCGTCGTTCCTCGCTCAGTTTCAGAGTATTTTCTCCTTGGTTTCGAATTATCTTAGGCAATCTATAAAATTGAAGGTGTAATTCTCGATCTTGCCTAATATGACGGCCATAGACTCGACAATTATTCACCATTTTGCCAACAAACTGAGTTTGAGTATACGTCTCCCTCTAATGCCTCCAATATGGCCAACGCGAGATTGGTAATGTCACGTGAAAACAATCTATTACAAGATGTGGAATCACAGATGATTTTTTTTTTTCTAAAGGATATCACATGAAGATTAAAATCATTCTGCATCTGATTACAAGGGAGATATGACTTGATATATTCCTTACATGGCTGATAAATACCCAATGCACTATGATCATACCAGATCTCAATTAACTCTTGACCAGACCCAGGACAGCATTCACCATTTTAGCCACACCGTCATGAATCTCGTGGAACTTCCCTTCATACATGAAAGCAGGTGTTGTGACGACCTGGTTTGCTTGGTCAATGGTGACTTCATCCACACCCTGAAAAGTCAATGGTTAAAACAAATAAATAAATGTGCAAGACATCAGAGGTCATATTTCACTATGATATAGGTATTTAAGATATCAGAGGTTGAACAGTGCTATAGGATGGTATGGTAGTAAAAATGGTAAAGAGGGGTAGGTGATGTGAACATGCCATCAGGGGAAAATCAGCTATGGACCAGGGTAACATGAACTTGCTGTATTGAGAATTTTCGGCTGAAGGCCAGGGTGGCCACAAGTGCACGAAGCTCTTGGAAGGTGATAAGACTAATGTGGCATTAAGGAATATTTCCATTGATAAATGAGAGTGAAATGTACTGTCTGTGAGCCATGACTGGAAAAACACTGACTCTAGGGATGCTATTCCTGGCCACCATGATGATGGCACAAGTTGTATTAACCCAATGGCGCCGGGTGTACAAAACAAAAAAAAAACGCCGACTTTGAGCGCGTGAGTAGGGGACATCAGCCCGAATCACTGGCTCGGCGTGCTTTGGCGCGCCGCTGGCTCGTTTGGCTGCACGCCAGCTTTTGAGCGCTTTGTTTACACGCCAATCAGCGTCACCCGGCACCAAGGGGTTAAAGATTTTTTTTTTTTTTTTTTTTTTTTTTTAATACACGGACAACAAAATATTAATTCTTGTTATTATTATTGCTCTGAATTATGGACTATCTAAAGAGATGAAAATAGCAAAAAAGCTAAAAATGCTTACACAGAAAGAGAAAACAACTGCAAAGGGGAAGCATGGACTCTTGGCACCACACACACAAATGTTTGTTTGCGCCCAACCTATCAGCCCCACACCTGGCAGTGGCTACTCAAGTAAGCCTAATGCCTATTTTTTTTATCTACATGATGGTAATGAAGCAACTGGATTGAATGGGTTAAGGGTGAAGGGCTATTAGATGAAATGGAGTATATTTATGATTCTGAGGAAGGAGAACATGTTAAAGGAAAAGGTAAGGAATTCCAAAAGGATGTTTAACAGGTTGGGGAGGTCACAAGATAGAGGACAAGTGAAGAGGAGCAAAGGTACAGGCTGCAGTAAAGACAGGAGGGGACAGCAGAATGTGTGGGACTGAAAGAGGAATGTGACATGAGATAGAAATTCATGAGGTGAGCATGGCACTACATAATTAGTACACATATATGATTACACAGAGCAGTTTGAACAGTCATGACCAGGTTGTCACAGAGGGCAGCAGGATATGGAGTGACAGTTCAGTCAGGGTTGCCAAAGCACCAACATTTCTGACTTTGAAGGGGTAGGGGTTGATATCAGACAGGGAAGGACTCTCTGCCACTATAAACCTCTTGGGTAGGTCATGTCTACTGAAGGTAGTTTTGAAAATATTGATGTAGGACTCTGGGGGAAAAATGTACTGACACTGTACTGATACTGCATCATCATCAACAAAACAGGCCAGCAGGTCATTTTGATAGTAGGACCAATCCTTGCTTTAGACAGGGCAGTGAGCCAGGGAGATGGAAACTGTTCCAATTTAAGTAATAAGAGAAGAGGTGGCAGGAATAAGATTTCCAGTGAGGTCAGCCAGTCAGCATTGTGCATGAGCTTGAGACTCTTGCTCATATTCAGACACACTTCAGACACCTTAAATAGAAACACAGTCAGACATCTTATACCCATCAGCCAATTACTATCAAGTTCTCATGCGCCACAGACAATCACCACCAAGTTCTCACTCACCACAGACAATCACCACCAAGTTCTCACGCACCACAAACAATCACCACCAAGTTCTCATGTGCCACAGGCAAACACCACCAAGCTGCCTTGTGTTGTGATTACAGACCTCCATCAGAAAAGGTGACCGAGGTGTCTCTGAATAGGAGCATCAGATGTAACTGTTACAATGTGTGAACAATTAAAATGGCTTTGCTTACTTGTTTAGGAGATATTATTGGAAGTGTAGCTTATTGTCAATTTGAGGGACTGTAGGAGGAATCACAAAAAATTGATCCCACTTGGTTAGGCTAAAGAGAGTTGTGAAAACATTTGTCAACATGGGTATTGTAGAGGGATGAGGACAGGAGGAAGGAGCGGTGTGAAATGAGATAGTACTGTGCAGGGGTCTGCAATAAGGAAAGAGTTGTAAACAGGGAGGAGGAGGAGGAGGTAGAAAATGAAGATAGTCCAGGAGATGGAGAAGGTGTAGAAGATATTGGGAAAGAGGAAAAGGAGTCTTTTGAAGGTTTGAGTACATGGGTACATGATTCAGAATGGATCAAGTTTACAGCAAGTGTTGACGATGGGGGTGTAGTAACAGAGGTCGGAGCCATGATAAGGAGAGCCAAGGTTCGGTACATCATAGTTAGATTCAGAGGCACTAGCAACTCTAAATGGCCCTAATATGAGAACAAAATCTTAATTATTAGCTATGGTATGCTTGAAATATTTGGGGAAGACAAACGGTCCACCATTCAATGTCCGTAAAGCAGGCAAGGGTCTAGACAATTAACCAATGGTTTACAGTGTACTGTGTCCAAAGCTCCCTTAAGCCATTAACGACTGGCACAAATTCAGCTTTTTCTCCTTTCAACATGGATCTCACACCTTGGGAAGTAAACAGGGGAAGAGGTTGGAGAAGATATGAAAAAGGAAGGGAGAGAAGACTAGATTGTGCAAAACTGGTTGAGCCGAGGGCTGAGGCCCAATGTAGGAGAAATTCCAAACTTTAAACCTCAGTCTCTGGCTCCTAAAATATCAGTCTGATCCTTCTAGGAATAAATATGTATGACAAATATGATAAATAAATATATTTTGATTTACTAATAATCAAAATTGATGCTATTATCATCATTATAGACATCATAATTATTATAATGCTATTAATATTCCTTGGTGACTAATTACTTATGGAGCCATCTATTGGTTTGTTAATATTGTTTTCATCAAATCAACATAAAAGCAAATGCTCCGAATACTTAGTATGAATTTAAATCTTTTACAAACAATGCAGCAGACATCAACATTAAGATTTTACAAATTCACTATAAGAGAAAAGCTTTTCTTTCCAATTAACACACCTGCTCAACTACATTAGCCCCTAAGCCTTTTGCTGCCTCCAAGGATCCTGCATATGGCCATTTGCCTGAACCATCATCTGTCAAGAAAAAGGATTGCTTAAAACACATGTATACCATTTGCAGAATATTGCTCCCTTGTACTCTTAATATGGAATTATCCTATTACACCCCACATGAGACAAATATATGGACAATCATTCTTTCCTAGAGTAATCAATTTCAAATGACAGTGTTTCTGAAATGTTTATTAAATATATGAAGAAAAAAAAATTGTGATCTCTATCCAATGTATCAAAATATCTAAATGAAGTTCATTACCTCTCTGTTCCACCCAAGTTCAAAATCATCATAACATTTTTCAATAAATTCACCAAATTTTACATATATTCATGTTGGTTTTAATTATTTACCTTGACTTTTGTTGTTTTGGGCCTTTTTAATTCATTCAATATATTTTCTTTGTCATTAACCCAATGACGCCGGGTGTACAAAAGGAAAAAAAAACTCTACGCTCTAGCAAACAAAGGCGGCAGTGAGTGCAGGACGTCAACCCGAATCACTGGCTCGCCGCACTTTGGCGCGCCGCCGGCTCGTTTGGCTGCACGCCAGCTTTCGAGCGGTTTGTTTACACGCCTATCAGCGTCACCCGGCACCAAGGGGTTAAACTTAAATAAATTAAGGGAGAGTTACTGAGTATCAGTAAGTCTTGTTCATGTCTATTCATAAAGTTGGCATTTGTTTTAGACGAGACTGAATTAACCCCGACTTCGAGCAACAAGTTTTAAAAGCTTGATTTTTATTCTTCCTGCACTCCTTGTAAATCCAGAATTCACATGTTTGCTTTAGAAGTAGTAGTTTCGTGAAGATGGCAAATATACAAGCTATTTGCACAATCAAAGTGAGCTTAATCCAAATAGACCAGGTGTTCCAAAAGCCAGTAGTCGGCAGTACCAGGTCATTTGATGGGTTCCATCACTCATTGTTATTACAAACCAGAAAAATATGATGAATAACAATTTAACAAATAGTGACACACAATATCCCATGGGAAAGCATCGTAAATGGATGCATTGTGGACTGGCACTGGGATATCCTGTGGTTTGCTGAAGCATATAATCTTTGTTTATCCTTGTAGTAACACTAAAAAAGGTAATACATACATTCTATCAAATAAAAGTTATTAGAAAAGAGAAATGCAAGCATTGGATGTTGTGAAACATGATGTAATTACACACAACATATGAGTTCAGAGGGGCAACAACCTGCAGGAACAAGTGTCAGGCCATGCACACTGCACAGCTAAATGGGAGAAGAAATCATAAACTTATATACACCAGCCATCTCACCATTATTTTAATCCAGGTTATTTGTGAAGGTATTACATGCAACTGCATTCAATGTTCGATATGAAGGCTAGGTAATCTGTTCTTTCCTTATTTATTTTGCTTTTAGAATCTTCGTCCTGAGTGTGTATATAGATATATTCCTCAAATGCTAAGTAACATTTTATTTTTGACTTCTGTTGGCTAATGGTTTAACATACAATTTCCAAGAGTAATTTGTGTAGGTGTGCAACTCCCCAATACTCTCTACCTACTGGGGAGGTAGAAGGGATCATCACTAAATTACCTATAAAATATTTGTTATAGAAATACCCACAGAATGTTGTTTCCACAAATTTTGCTAAGAAACTCTTGTTTGAATATTGTCAGAATAGCTGAAAATTTCCTCAAATCTTTCTATATTTTTCTAAAATTCATATAAAAATCAAACCCACCACTCTCTGTGGGGAGTGACTGGAGCAGGCATATGCCCACTGCAGTAGCTGGGTGCATTAGATGATGCCATAGAGGTTCCCTAGTAGGCAAAGGACTTGGCGGCCCTTGTGTTGCTGCTGTTTGTCCAAGGTGCTGGATGATTGTGAAGTATTAATGTCATTTCAAGATCTCGAAGCTTAAGCAGGTCTCTGCAACGAGTCTTGAGTAGCACCTTCTGGTGAGCAAGAGTGGATGAGACTACTGGACCTGGCATGACTCAAACTGGGAAGTATGCAGAGCTGAGTTGTACAGGTTGTGGGTCATGGCTGTTACAAGTACATCCTCCCCAGTGAGTGAACTAAGCAAGCAAGCAAGATTACGTACATGTCACTCCAGGATCACCAGAGTAGTAGATAGGATGGTATCTATCACTTGGGTGTGAATGTCCACTGTTATGGCTGTAGGTAATGTGGAGTTCTATGGGAGAACCAGAGAGGCTCCACAGTCAGTGAAGGATGGCAGTCTGAGGTGTGGCTGGAGGATAGTGAAGTGATGATCTCTGTTCCAGATCCTGAAGCTTAAGTACTCAGGAGCTGTTTGCAATCTAATCAGAGATCAGTGATGGGTTTGTGTCAACCAGTCAGGTCTCAGCACCGAGTCATGAGAAGCACCTACTGGTAGGTGAGAGAAGACAAGGCTATTGGACCTGGCATGACCCAGCCTGGGAAGCATGTAGAGCAGAGTTGTGCAGGTGCAGGTCATGGCTACTATACCATCACCATCTTATCTAGCATCAACCTTTATAATGAAATGACACTTAGTTTTGGATGGGTTTATGATCTGTTAATGAGTCCAGGAAATAATCAACATCAACAACCAGCAATACTTAACCCCTTGGTGACGGGTTAAGAAAACTAAAAAAAAAAAAAAAAAAAAAAACTATGCTCTGGCGATCAATGGCAGCACGCTGACTTTGAGCACAAGAGTTTGGTACATCAAGCCGAATCACCGGTTCGCAGCGCTTTGGCGTGCTGCCACAGCATACAGCCACACACCATATTTCAAGCAGTTTATTTTCATGCCTACAGGTGTGATCTGTCCGGAAGGGGTTAAAAGTACTGATTCGGTGGCATCAGGCCATTTTGGTGAGATTGGAATTTGACATATATTACTCATATATTCCGTACTTCTTAGCAACACCTAAAAACTTTAAATTTTCATACATGTATACATATTCTGGAATTCATAATTTCACAAGGTAGTTTTTTTTTGTATTTTTATATATAGCTGTACGTGTGTATCAACTTTTGGAGCCTCGACAACAAAAGAGTGAAATACAGGATCCCTGAGAAGCCCTTATGAAATGCATAGTATACAAAAAATAAGATTAAGTGTTAAAAGCTACTTCTTCAGATTTTCAATAGCAAAAAAATAATATTTTACCATAATTGTAACAAAAAAAACAAACTCATGGCATGACAATACATGCCCCCTGAAAAACAAGATTGGCACATATATGTAAATACCACCCAGAATATAGTCCAGGCATGCCATGCCAGGTATGTACATGCCATCCAGTGGCTAGGAGTTGGGTAGGAATTTTTATATAAACATTTCTATATGCACCTTTTATATAAATGTTCTATGTACAAATAAAGAAAAGTTTGGGAGAATTCTTGCCCATCTTTACCTTTGCTGATGAACCCAAGACAGCAGGTTTATGCACTGCCCCTTTTAGATTTTTGCAGTGAGTACAAAGAGCCAATTCCATTACCAAACTAATAATGTCAGTCATTTTCCTTGTCTAACTTATCACATTTCATAATGCTCTGAATGTAAATTGCTGGGTTGGAAAATACTTTATGCCACATAAGGCCATACATGTCTGAAGATAAAGCCCCTTTTTAGCAAAGATTTTTGCACCTAGATCAGCTTATATTGTTGTTTTTGCCCTTCAGATCTATTGGTTAATGATATATATCCCCATATAAAATAACTAGAGATAAGAAAGCTAATTCTATTGACCTAAAGTATTTGTTGAAAACAAATTAATCCCATAGCATGGAGGGGCTACAAATTTACAGCAAGTGCAATATTCATGTGACTAATTTCAAGAAAATTAGCATAACAAAAAATTCAGCACTCCCTGGCCTCACTCAAAAGGATCATGCATGTTATAAGACAGTCCTCTTTTTATAGTGATTTTTCAGGGTAAAAAAAAAACTTATATGGCAAAAAATGCAATAATAGAGTACCACCTGGAGCCTACATACAAATCCAACTAGGTAGGCAAGTGGCTGGCTAAATAATCCACAATGGATTAATCCACAACTAATGCTAATTTACACATCAATAAAAACAAATCAATAAAAAGGCAAACACACTCCTTCCTCACATATCATAAAACTGAGTTACTCTCAATGAATGCAATCACAAAGCCTACCTGATTTCCCAAGTGTGATGGTGACTCCACTTCCTCCAAGGACCTTAGCAGCCAGCATAGGAGCAATACAACAAAGGCCAATGGGCTTCTTGGCGCCATGGAAATCTTTCAAGACACGCTCCACCTCAGGAATAACAGTCATATCCCCTCCTTTAACAGCAAAGTCTGACCTGGAAGAACCAAGAATGAGTGCTCCAGTATGCCACAGTTGGGATATTTCAATAGGTGAGAAATGTCACTTGCAAGACTTCAATGAATGAACAATGCTTGACTTGTAACTTAGAATGATTAAAGTAACACTACCTTTACCTTTACAATTAATTTTGTCCAAATATCTAAAAAGAAATGGTGTTGCATTCCAGTTCATTTTAATAACAAATGTATTGAAAACTAATGAACAGATAAAAATAAAGAAGACATTTTGTTTTTACAAAATGGGATTACATTATTCAACATTTATTTACTAAAACCAAATATCAAAAATCATAGTAACTATTAACCCATTGGATCCAGATGCTTCACTGCCGTCACATGGCCCCAAATATGGGCATTAGGCTTACTTGATCAGCCACTCAGACAGGTGTGCAGCTTGTAGACTGGGCACAATTGACCACTCGAGTGCTCTTTTTTTGCATAAGCATTTCTATATTAGTCATTTGATTTACTTTATCCAGATGGTAATAGATTGTTTTTCTTGCACAGACTCCACATCATCTTTCTAGACACTCTATAACTCAGTGTAAGAATAATAGTAATAACTAATATTTTGTTATTTGATAACAATAATTAATATTTTGTTATTTGTATCATTATTTTATTTTTTCTTTTTATCATTCAATTTTCTGTAATACAACCTGTGCTGCTAGTCACAGCAGTTTAGAATAGAATCCTGAGCATGGAAATGGTGTACTACCTCAAGCTAGCGCTCTTCCAGTCATGAATAACAGTACATTGCACACTCGTTTATAATAATAATACAATTACATACAAGGGAAACTTTCAAGTTGAAAAATGCAAAATGTCAATATTTAGAGAAAATGTCAATAATTTCAGATTCTTCAAGGCTACCTGCAAAATCATATTCTCTGGACACCTAAACCTAACAAGTCTGACAAGGCTGCTAGCCCAGTTAGCTGGCTGTTGGTCAAGCTGCCAATTACTATACAAATTAGGGCATTATCACAGCCATGAATCTGATCTCTGTACATTCAAATGATGATATATGAGAATATTGTTGCAGTGCACCTAACTGTTGAAAAGACATTTTTAATGAAAAGTACTGAATCTTTAAAATATAGCATGTTTAATATCATTTATGTATGTATAAGTATTTAAATACAGAGATCTCTGAAACATTACTTTTTCTGTTTCCTAAACTTACCCACATTGTTTTTTAGGGTAATAAGTTCTTTTTAGCATATGCAAATTTCTTTAAAAAAAATCTTCCCAGTTTTGAAAATACATCAACTCATAGCCTACACATGACATGGTCATGGGCATCAAAACAATCCCTGGACATCATCCTGGAGAACACTGATGAAGACCAAAAGTCCCTCATAGTAAACCATTGCATTATGCCCACACTCATGCCCACACTACATGCCCTAGGGCACTGTGTGGAAAATATACACATGCCAGCCTTATCAGAAAAAGGCCATGGAGCCCAGTCAGCAGCACAGACTACCCAGAGCAGAGGCCTAGTAAACTACCTCTGAGCGGCAATGGGTTAAATTATAAAAAAAATTGACATAAGGAGGTAAAAATTATAATAAGAAGACCCAATGCCACCGGACATGGCATGTACATATATGCCATGCCCACTGTGAGTTTACTTTATTAATTATTTTTACACATAGATGACTACACTTGTACTAAGTAACCAATGAGCCAATTACGAGTACTGCCTGTCTCACCTGTTTACTCTTTTCCTTGATTTACAAAAATATTTTGTTATCTTTTTTTGCTGTTACTAATGTTTTATCACCTTTCAAGGAAAGGTGAAATCAGGTAAGGGCACAAGGTCTACTAATTGACTTTGTGGCTAAGCACTCGCAGAGCCATCTATGTTCATAGATATTTTACATAATTAAATTACAATGAGCACAGCCTTTTTCCGGCAGCATTGGGTTTAAAAGTACCAATAACCATATCTTACAAATTCTTAGCAGCTCCAAATCCACCTGGGAAAATCACAGCATCAGCAACTCCACTTGTCAGTTCAGTAATGGGCTTCATATTTCCACGTGAAATACGGGCAGATTCAGCTAGCACGTTGCGGGTCTCATTCTCAGAAGGAGCACCCTGCAAGGATTTATATCAATCGTTTTATGAAACCTCTCAAGTTCACTAATATTATCATGTCAATAAAATGAATAAAAGTATTCAGGAAGTCAGAATGTGGCCATTATGCTACATCTATTAATTGGGAATGCACAAGAAATAGTGTGATACATAGGAAACAAAAAAAAACACACAAAACAGTTCTCAAGTAATAACATATAGTTTATATAATGATACTATTACCTCACCTTGGAGTGATCAATAACATGCATCTGAGGAGCATCTGGGGCATAACAAACGACATCAGCTCCAGCACGGGTCAGAGACACCAACGCAGCTGAAGCCTCATGAACTTCTGAACCATCATACACACCTGACCCTGACAACACCTGAAGCAAGAAAAAAATAATAATAGTACAAACTTTCAAACCAAATACAGGCTCTTCCTGTCTTTCTATTTGACATTACAGATAGTCCCCTACTTAAGAACATTCTACTTATGAACATTCCATACATACAAACAAATTTTTTTAAGTATGAAAGTCCAAAAAATGTTAGCAAACTTCAAATTCCCCGGGTACGAATATAGTTCAAGAGTCTGGTACTGCATAAGGTATGTCGTACTTATTGGGATTTATTTACAGGTATTCTTAATGTAAACAAAACTTTAAAACAATGTGAAAAAAGGTAATGGAGACCCAACTTTCGACTTACAAACAAATCAACTTACAAACAGCCTCTCGGTCCCCATTATGTTCTTAAGTTGGGGACTTACTGTATTTATAAGTATACTTTTCTTAACAAAATTGAAATGATCATTTACAACACTTTTTCTATGATGCAGCATTGAATATGTTCAGACCTAAGATCTATATAAAAATATCATACATCCATGGTTAAGAAAAAGCATAAATAATAATCCTGGTTAAAATCATATCAATGTGACAATGGTCTACTACTCTCCATATTACATTAGATTTGTCAGGAGACATGGAATGTATAATTAATTAACCTTAATAAATGTATAAATTTATCTATTGTATCATATAATGAAATAAAACTGAATAGTATAGCAGAACTCAAAAGGGTGCTAGATAACATTAGTATTAAGAAAAAAAAAATATTGATAATAATAATTTCTATTAATTAGAGTATTCCTCTACAAACAAAAAAATGTTCTTGAAAAAAAATTACCAAGGTAGAAAAAATCTAAAAATCTAGAAAAAAAAAATAATAATTGTTAAGAGTGACAACATCCAACGGTCTTTCTAATGAGTTTCCAATCGAAATTCGCAAAAACAAAGCTAACAGGCACATTTCTATTGCCCCACCCCCACCTCACCACATCACCCAAATTATGTACATCTTAAGTGTATGAATGAAGTTACTCCATACAGTAATGACCAAGAAATGCAGAATGTTTTAATTTCATTCATAAATCTGAAACATCAACTTTATGCAGGCCAGATAAAAACAAACAGCCTTGTCCAAAGTAGTTATCAATAAGTAATCAAGGCAAGAGTATGTGAGTCCCGTGTCTGTTTCTCTACGCAATCATGTGTATATTTGTGATTGTTTCACAAATAGAAGTGATGCTGTGATCAAAGAGTAAACATGTGACCTCTAGGTAAAACCTCAAGGAAGCAAGGAAAAGAAAAATAGACTACTGTCTTCTCTCCTTAGAAGGAGAGGGTAGTGGGGACCTAGGGGACCACAATATACTTTCAACAACAAATGCTCCACCCCCATCACTGTCGCCCCCACCGTCACCGTCACCCCCACAACCACCGTCGCCCCCACCTCCACCGTCGCCCCCACCTCCACTGTCGCCAGCTGGTGTTTGTACGACCTCTCAAAAAATTATATGTCTGCTAACACCAAAATATAAATCAGATTCAAGTTTATAATAGTATTGTAACTGAACTAGGCCAGCAGATCTTCAGAAAGCAGCAGGTTTCCTTACAGATGTGAATTTTAGTGCAGGTGCCTATAGTAGACACACCATCATGTCAAGAAAAAATCCAGGTCAAGGGGCAGGTAACGTGAACATGCCATCACAGAAAAATCTGGCTGAAGGCCAGGGTGATGGAAAAGCCTCGCCAATATTGGGTGGTTTATTTTACTCATTTGGTGAATTTGTATTTTTTCCATCGATGTATGAGTGTGGGATGAAATGTCTGTGAGGAGGGACTGGAAGAACACAGGCTTCATGGAGGATGCCATTTCCATTCTCAGCATTATATTCCTGGCACCGTAAGCAGCAACACAAGTTGTTAAAGAAAATTGAATATTAAGTAAAAACTTTAAAAATTACAAAAGTAACATAGTAATACACAGTTTTAGTTTTCTTGCACTGAGTTGTAGACTACCTTGAGACATGAGTAGAGTGTGTAAAAAACAAACTATTACCTTCTGGATAATAACTTTGCACATAGGAAGTATATAGTCTTGCCACCACACCCATGTGTTTGCATGTGCCTAGCCTTCAAGCATCCACCCAGCAGAGCAGCTATCACATTACTATGGCAATGCAATACATAATAGCATTGGGAAAGATGTAAACGTATGAGAAAAGAAATTTGGATATCATTCTTTCATCCGTATTCAAACGATTGAAAAGAAGGCCCATCATTTTTGCCCTACTGGGATTGAGTCCTGGTGCTTCTGAAACAGAGCACAGGCCAGGCATAAGGAAGCTCCTAGCCATGCTTCCAAAAACTTGTATCTCACCAAGATATTGTATGAAAAGTTACAACTAATCAAAACAGTATATAATGAGCTATCATCTCCTGGTCTGCAGGGCTACTCAAAACCCCAATGAATCACTATATTCGTAACTTTGGCAAAAGGTACAGAAGGTGAAATTCAATGGCTGCTTCAGTTATCATTGTAGTAAGAGTTGTTGTGCAAGAGCACAATGTTGGGTTAACCCAATGGTGGCGGGTGAAGAAAACAAAAAAAAAAACTCTACGCTCTGGCAAACTATGGCGGGGCACCGACTTTGAGCGCATGAGTTCGGTACATCAGCCCAAATCACTGGCTCGCCGCGCTTTGGCACGCCGCCACAGTGTACAGCCACACGCCAGCTTTCGAGCAGTTTGTTTTCACGCCTATTGGCATAACCCCTCGGGAAGGGGTTAAAAGCAATCCTGATGATGCACCTTTTGGCATCAATCCCACAACATATGCAAGCTGAGTTATTGCAAGTAAGAGGAAGACACAGAGAAAGATCAAGTTCATCAAAGACTATGAACCAGGTGTGTTCTAATTCACCTGGCACTGATGGCAATGGAGAGAGAATCTCACACACCCTCAGCATCAACAAGCAATAACACCTTCATAGAAATGAAAAGAAAAAGAAAAAAAGAATCACCATGGCATGGTGTGGAGGATTCTGGTTCCACCAATATGTCAACCGAGTAAGTTACTTTCTGTTTGTGCTGGGTCAAGTATATAGCCGTCACAAACCCCTTGATTTGCCAGGTACGTCTATATGCATGGCGACATGCTAGTGTGTGTCAGGCAGGAAGTTACGCTACATGTAACAGACTCCCACTTCCAACGGCTGGACAACTGCTAAACATCACCAGAGTCTATGACACAGAGAATTCTAATACCCATCACAGAGGGATTGATAGTAACAGTAAAATATATTATCAAGATTCTCTTATTTTTTCCCATGATGATCAGATATTGAATAACCCCATCATTTTCATTTTAATTGTTTTATTAACCCCTCGACGACAGTATCAGAAAGC